TTTCTCAAATAATAATATTTTTATAAATAATTGAGTTTATTTTAAAAAAAATTTTGATGGTGGCCCTATTAGAAGCATAGTGATCCAAATAAGGCCAATGGTAAGCATTTTTGTTTTACGCAAAAACCACCACTTATATGAAAAAATAACTAAATTGGGGTTAATATTCCTGTAATACAAGCGAAACACTTCACATATAAGCTCGTGATTTTTGTTGGGTTTGGTCGATAATGTTTGGAAAAAAAAATAAAACTTCTTAACATGGCCTTATTTGGGACAGGTACCTTATACAAAACTTAATATTTGAATAACTTTCGGAATAATCATATTTAGGCGAAATGAAAAAAAAGTAACGATTTTTTTTCGATTCTTTACAGTTTGCAATAAACAATAATCAATTTAATTTTCCATGCAAGTACCCTATAGTGGTGTTAGAGCTGAAATTGTTTTAAAAGGGTTTTTGAAACTGTTTCCTCGAAAAAAAAGCCTTTAAACCAGAAAAGATGGCAACCACGTTATCAATGACAATGACACCAATCATAATCTTAAGGGCCCCACAGACTATGATGAAACACGTCGCTCCAAAACCGACGTGTGTGGTAGAAAACCGTCGTGTTTTGCTACCACACTCTTGCTATGACGTCACAAAACAATAATGCAAGAACAAGAAATTGCAAGAAATCTTGTTTGCAAGACAAGATTTTTTTCTGCAAGAGTCGGGCAAGACAAGAATGAATTTCATTTCTTGTCTTGCTTTGCAAGACAAGACAATAATAGGCCCAGCAAGACAAGAAATCTTGTCTTGTGAAACACTAGTTTGGGTTAGTTTGTGTTTGTGTTAGTTCACTTTATTTAGCAGCCCTTCTCATTTTACTAGTCTTGTATATCCAAATTCCAATTTATCTCGCTCGGACCCGTAATTTTCTTCTTCGAATTTGAAAGTCGGAATTTTTATTTTTATTTTTTAGGCAAAAAAACGTCAATATCCGCATCTAAATAGGGAACTTGCACATCAAATTAAATATGGAATAAATAACAAAACACAATAACAATTATCCTAATAAATGATGCAATTAGGAAAAAAAATTAATATCTTATGTCTGGTGTCCAAAATCTTCAATTGAAAATACCAAATAATTCGAAATTCATAACGCGATCAAAAACGTATTTCTATGGGCCGTGACGTCACAAGGCAGTAATAATCGGGTCGTGCCGCTGCCACGTCATGTGCTGCTGGTGTCGCCAATGTCAAATCTATGAAAAACCAATGAACTATAACCAAAAACTGGAATGCTAACACATAAGGACGAACGTGAAGCCTAGTGCGGCTGCTGCGGAGGGGATACCTGTTTTTGTCGCACTCAATATGTTAAATGGTGAAAATTGCTTCCAACACGTATTCCAATTGATGAAACCTGTGAAGGGAAATATGACAAAACTTTCGAAAACGTCATATGTCAGCGAGCAACAGAAAAAAACAACATTCCCCCTTGTGGCATCTGTCTTTCATGGCTTCATTTTTTTGGAATATATGGCAATGTGTGCGCATTCCAGTTTTTAGCTATAGTTCATTGTGAAAAACTACATTAGGCAATTCAAACCACGTGACATTCAAGATGGCGTGGCGGCAACACATGGGCCAAAAAATACAAAAAAATATCTGGTTTCTGCCCGATTTAATAGTTAACGTACATGGTCAACAAATATTTTATCAAATAATCAAAATCAAAGTTGCAAGCAAAACTCTAAGCAAAATAATTTAAAATACGCATAAAAACATATTCAAAACAAACTTGCTTGGCCGCCATGCCATATTGAATTTTCCTTTTTGACAGATGGCTTGAATTGCCTAATACATAACAACATAACCATAATCTTAATCTACCTGCTTGAAGTTCGAAGTGCTCGTCACTGTGATCAGAACTTTGTTGCCGAGTGACGTCATATTGATCGGTCGTTTCAAATGGCGATGTTTCGAGCGTAACTTCAAATATTTATAAAAAATTAACGGCTGATTTTTAATGCCTGATATTTGGCATGACTATGTCTTTAGTGAAGTAGAACACATTTTAGAATTTAAAAAAAAATGTGCAAGTTCCCTATTGAAACAAAATAGTATATTATGCAATGATCATGTAATGATAGCCATTAATACACGAGCATGTTGTAGGATACGAAACGAGCCGCAGGCGAGTTTCGTATATACCATGCGAGTGTATTAATAGCCATTACATGAGAGTTGCATACACTATTTTTTCTACTGCCATTGATAAAACTTATGATTTTTAGATATGTCAACATTATGCTTAACTTTGAATAGAGATTTTATAATTGAGTGATGCGTCCATACAGTTGAAGGTTTCATTTTTTGTTGTAATTCTTTAAAATATACTATCAAAACATTTTCTGAGAAGGACGATGTGTTTTTGGTGTTTCCAATCTATAAATTGTCCTAATTTTTCGTAAATTTTCTTGGACTTGTCCGGTAGTATATTTATTACCTGCATTTGTCGCCCTTTATGTAATTTCTAGAGGTGTTAGTGAAAATTCTTCGTTATCACTCAATATTTCCATAATAATGTCTCATCCCAAACTTTACGTAACTTTTAATAACAATTTGAAGTATTTTTTTTATAAAATTATTGTTTTTCGCTAAATTACCATGGAAAAACTATAAACAAAGTGCTGTCAACATTCAAAAAAAAAATTATTCAAAATTTCTTTACTGCTGACGCCATCTATTGACAATGTATGATAATAAAAAAAGTAAAAATTCTTCCTTATCACTCATTATTTCCGTAATAATTATTCTTTGTCCCAAACTTTAGATAACTTTTAAACAATTCGAAATCCTTTTTATAGTCATCAAAATAATTGTTTTACGCAAAATTACCGTTTAAAATGTTTAATATCTCAACTGGTGGTGCCATCTATCTACATTGTATGATATTAAAAATCAGTATTATAATGAAAATCTGTATCATAATGAAGTTCATTATGATACAGATTTAAATCGTTTAATAGCGTATTATGAAATGTCAGTAGAAAAACATTTTTATAAACGATATATCAACTAATTTTTATCGAAAATATGTTATATTTTGAAAGTGTCCTCCCTGACGTTTCACTATAGAAATGTATGGGATCGGGAAGTAAAATAGGGGAGTGCATGGGTCAGAAACGAAGATTGGGTTTATTTCAAAAGTGTACAGAGTTTTGGTTAGTTTGGTTTAGTTTTGGTTAGTCAGCGTTAGTCAAGACGTTAGAATGTCGAAAAGAAAGTAGAAAGAAAAAAAAGATTGTGTTTTCGACTTTTTATAATCTTGACAACTTGTATTTTCGACCTTTTTCAATTTCTACCTTTTAAAATTCGTACTTTCGTATTTCGATTTTTTGTATTTTCAACATTTTGTATTTCGACTTTTTGTATTTTCGACATTTTGTATTTTTGACTTTTAGTATTTTCGATCTTTTGTTTTTTGACCTTTTGTATTTTCGACATTTTGTATTTTCGATCTTTTGTATTTTCGAGCTTTTGTATTTTCGACCTTTTGTTATTCGACCTTTTGTTATTTGACTTTTTGTTATTCGACCTTTTGTTATTCGACCTATTGTTATTCGACCTTTTCTCATTCGATCTTTTGTATTTTCGACCTTTTGTATTTCGACCTTTTGTATTTTCGACCTTTTGTTATTCGACCTTTTCTCATTCGATCTGTTGTATTTTCGACCTTTTGTTCTCGACTTTTTGTATTTCGATCTTATGTTTTCGACCTTTTTTCCGGGACTCGATGTGTTCATTTGCACGCGAGAGATTGTTTTGCTGTGCTGAATTTTATTTGTATGAAAACCTGCCAGCTTATTCTGTAACTTGCGACCGCAGAGAATTTCGGAATTGTCGCTGTCAAATGAGAGTTTCCTATTCTAAAAAAGCAACTGCGACGCGGTTGCTGGTTGGTTGCTATGTAGGTAATTGCTGTTCGTGGAGAATAGGGCAAGTACACGATCTGACAGTTTGACACTATTGACAGTCGCCTTGAGGTAAAACAAAGATAAAATTTACAGTGTTTTTTAAGTTTTAAGTTAGATTTTTTTAAATAAATACCTTTTGTGTGATCCAGAAGTTTCTTGGACATGCCTAGAGTTTGTTTAGTTGTTAATTGTGGCAGTATAGCGCAAGGGATTCCATAGGTTTCCATCAATTTTAAATAACAATGAGAGGTTTGATTTGTTAGCTCAAGAAAGAAGAGAAAATTTGATTAATGTTGTTAAAAGAGAAGATCTGACAGAAAAATATATCGAATATAGAGTAATTAAATTATGCTTATATATTTCTTCTTGTAACACTTGGTTTTGATATTTTTTGGAAAAAGCCTTAATTTATTCCATTATAGAAAAACCTAGCAAACTTCTGGATAAAAGACCGCATAGATTGGAAAATAAACACTACTTAACTTTTTTAAAACAAAATAACACAAAAACTCGTAAAAAAGCTGTGAAAACCGCATAAAACATAACCGGCCTAATCTACACCAATGTAAATAAATGCTCTGAGGTTTTACCTCAGGGCGACTGTCAAAACTCATTTGTGACGTCACATGGACATGCCCTATAGGCCTGCGGGTTGTGTATTATGGACTTACTTTCTAGATTTGTTAAAAAATGTTCTGTATCTATGATTTATTTTGGATTCCCGAGATCTAGAATTTAAAGTTCAATTTATTGTCAATGAGTTTTTTTCTTTGGACAATAAAGCATTTTCTGAATCTTAAAATTTAACTAGAAAATTATGGCAGTATTAAACATAAAAATAATAAAATTTAAAATATTGTATTGCTATTAATATTATGCTGATTTGACCTCTGGCCTACAAACCCCATTAATAAAAAAAGAAATCAAAAATCCAATCCGGATGGCCGCGAAGTCCGGCAACGCTGTGGCGGTTCGTTCAGCAGGCCGCAGTGTGCTGTGCGAGTACGCTTATGTCAAACCATTCATTCCATTCATTTTTTCAGTACAGAACATGGAGTAGAAACGGGACAAATATGGCGGACGATAACTTTAGAGTTCGGCTTGTGGAACGTTTAAAAATCAAAATAGGTGAGTCCCATTTAATAAATTCAACAATTTAATTAATCAACAATAAACCAATTGCATCGTAACGCAAGTTATTCAACGCGAAACGGTGCAGTTCGTTTAAGAGGGCCACTGGTTTGTTGTTGACATTTTTGTAGGTTGGTTCCCTGCAGGTGGTGAGATTTTATGAATCAAATTCGTGATTCTGTGATGAGTATCGGATAGTTCATTAATTCGACTTGTTTGTTTTAAGGTGAAGCCAAAAATTTACCTTCGAGAAGTCACGGATCAGCATCCCAAAGAGATAGCTATTGTACACTGTCACTGGACCAAGAGGAAATATTTAGGACTTCAACAGTTTATCAGTCTTTAAGGTAAGACTTTTCATTTTCAAGTTTTTAGTAGTTTCAATTTAATTATTTGCTTATAGCTTATGTTATTCCCTTTATATCTTGCTTTATATGTTTTTATAGCTAATTTTCCATTCAAAAATACATAAACATAAATTTTAAGTGGGTAGTACCAGTACCTATACAATGTGATAAATGTTGTTAACTTCTAATAGTTCATTAGCTGCAATAACTACGCGGAAGTGTTGAAGTGTAGCAAATTGAAGAATAATTCTTGGTAATGTAAATATTATTTAAATATCCGATTGTGTTCATTTAACTTAGGTTAGTCTGGGTTTGGTTTGGTACGGTTCAAAAATAACAGTACTTCTTTAAAGGTCAACTTCTCAAACTTTTTATTTCAAAGTCAAATAATTTATTTTCAGAAAATAGTAAAGTTCATATTGTTTAGTACCGAGTAGGTAGGCTGGTAGGCACCATTAAGGTGGATCATATTTTTCCTAACTTTCTGTCATGTTAAGTCATGTAAATGACATCACTATAATACTTAGACCTAGACCATTTAACATGATTTTATTTAATCTCATATCTTTACCACAAAAATAATTAGAGATCTGGTCAGAAATTTATATGGTTCAATTAAATTCAGGTAAAGTTTTTTATCTTAGAATTTTTTGAGTCAGAAATTGAACAGCAAAAAAACTAACTAATAAAAAAAGTCAAAAAGAAACACTTGTATAGTACATAATATGATGTTTTGATAAAGGGATGGCCGGGGGGTGGTTAAGTATCTACTAGTTTTGTATAACAATTGTTACACTTTATAGGTAGTTGCCATTATTAAGGATCTCTATACATACACCAATATACAGGATGTCCTTAGATAAACTGACATATTTTGCAGGTAAATATCCAGAAAAGAACATGATTTGTTCTGTGAAGTTTTTTTCAACAGTGTTGGTGAATCCCTCAGTGAATCCTAAAATTTGCTGAAACTTAGTTTTATAGACATGCGATTTTTTGAAATAAAATTACTGCCTTATTTCTAATGAAACACCCTGTATATTTAGTCAATGTCGGAAAGCCTGATTTCTCTACTGTCAAAAATGTATACCTATTTTTTTTTAATTATCTTGATATTGCATCTTGGAAATTGCACTTTGTGGAAAAGGAGAACATCGACAGGCCAAAAAAAAATGAAAAATAAGTCAAACAATCACAGGGCTTTCAAACTTTCAGAACTTATTGAGTAGGGTCTTTTTTAAAACAAAACAAACTGAGAGTGAATCTCTGGCTCAGAAATCAAGTTATGAATTTTTTCCCACTTGAATGCAAAAAAAAATCTTGTCAAATTTCTATTAAATCAACATTGAAAGCCTCAATCAAAAGTGGATCTCAGGCTCAGAAAGAGAATTATGATTTTTTTCTCATTTAAATGTTTGTTTAAATGCAAAAAAATCATGTAAAATTTAAAATTTGTATCAAATCACCTTTGAACGCTTCTCAAAAATACTTCAAGCAATCAGCTGGGACGAATAGAGATATTTTCTCTGTCTCTACTGACGTCCCCTCTCTATTGATTTCAAAAAAAAAGAAGACAGCCAGTGCCATAGCGATAGGGACAAAGATCTCTATCCGTTAAAGAGTTCCAGCCCAGAGAGCTTCAAACTTTCAGGATTTATCGAGTAGGGTGTTTTTATCACACAAAACAAAGTGCCAGTGGATCCCAGACTCAGAAATGTAATTATGATTTTTTTTTCCACTTAGATGCAAAAAAATCGTAAATAATTTGTGTTTAATACTTTTATTAACTAATTGAAGCCTAGTTAACTGATTTCATTTCATTTATTTAGAAAAAATATTCATAAAATTACAGAAATATAGTTATTAACTTAATTAATTAATTAATTAATCTATCAAGTAATCTTACTCTATGTGAAGAAAAAAAAAGTTCGCTATAATTTACTAATTGACATATCTCGTAATAACTATGGCATTTCCGATTGATAGATTCAGTGTGCACTGAGTGTATTTGCATCTGTTTGAGCTTGCGTCATATTCGTATTCAGGGACGAGCTCAGAATTAATCGTTCCTTCTTTCTTTCTAACGTGTAATTCGACAAAGAGCAAATTAATACTTATTACTTGAAGTTACCGCAGTTTTGTTTAAGGTTATGTTAGATTAAACTTGACATATCCCTCTGCAATTTCAATGTGCGATATTGCCGAATGAAACATTTGAAAAAGTGCTTCTAGAAAGTTTTCACAAAAATCAGTTATTTCCATAAACATAAAAGTTATGAAGGTTTCACACTATTGCTAAAAATCGAGAATCGCCCTCTAGGGGCTAGAGAGTTGAAGATATCAAAATTTCATGAAATTTAGGCCTCGCAGTAGGGGGTTCATTTTTTTGTATCTCACTCAGAAATTGATGTTTCCTATTAAAATTATTCAAATTCGGACCCCCTGGACATAAGTACAATTGCTCAATTTGACGTATGAATTTTTTTTACGGACATTGCGTTTTAAATCTCCGTGGATGAAGCATTGAAATAGCTATTTACCTAATAAGTGCGGAAAAACTTATCTTCAGCACGGGTATCGGTAAAAAAAGTCTCAAACCATTATTAAAAAGACACTTCTGCATATTCATATTAGTTGTTCTGGCCAATTCTATGACAAAAGTGTCACATGATCTAACATTATGTGAATGCCTCTCGGACCTTGGAATTAAGTATTCTTGCAAATATTTAGGCAATAATCCATTCTTTGTTGTAAAAATAAATACCACATTGGACATCTACACTTTGTTGTGCAATACCCATACAGGCTGTTTTACTGAAAATAAGGCAATAATTTTATTTCAAAAAATCGCATGTCCGTAAAATTAAAGAAGGAGGCACAATTTACATTGAAAATAGTCTCCTGTAAATTTCAACCAAATCTCAATATTTTAAAGGTATCATCATAGCAAGAAAAAATTTGAAATGTAAAGAGGATCATGTCTGTGATAGCAGATATAGCTCATCAAAGTACCTAGGGTGTGCTATGCTATGCATAGGAAATATCCGAGGAAATATCCCTACGTAGTTTTTTTTAAATATGTCAAAAAATACTAATCCAGTTTTGACGTTTTTGGGGTCCTTTTGGTTATTTCAACCGCATCTTGTTACATTTTCTCGTTTTGGAGATATTTACCTGCAAAATATGTCAGTTTATCTAAGGACACCCTTTATTAGCATTCATTTGTAGCTGCCAAATTGTAATCAGTTTTAAGATCATTATTAAGAGATGCTTAAACATTATTTTGCTTTCATAAAATATGGAGTGTTTTGTTGAAGCAGACTAGTATAAGCAATTAGGCAAGCTTATTAGTATTCACATTGACTCCAGTGTTGTACACAATATTCCAAGCTTACCAACCTGGGACCCCTATACATTTCTTATGCCTAAGACACACAGTCTCTAAAATAAACATACATGGTAGAATAAATTTTTTTGCACAATAACAACAGTTGGCACTCATGTTGGCAGTGCTCAGCTCATTAGAAACTAGTTATCCTGTTTGAGAAGCAACCAGCAGATAGCCTCTCTCCTCGCCTTTTTCATTGCTTTTTTCCTAGTGCCTTTATGTGATCCTCAAATCTAAGCTTATTATCAAGTAGATAACTAAATAATCAATGAGTATTATCTATGTAATTATTTGATGATTATACCTATTATATATTCTAGATGTACATCCGAGCAGACCATTAAAACCTATATTTATTCTACTCTGTGAAATGTATAAAATAGTTCACTGACCTGACATCATAATTATAAATTTCATTGGAAAATATCATATTAGAATTAAATTTTTGTAGATAATTACCAATTCTGTAAAAGGATATATCGAGGGATGTATGTACGAACCTAATCAAGAACTTAATTTATGTGTAGTTTGTAAATATCGAGGTACCTAAATATTATGACCAATCAATACCCACAAATATTACCTATACTAGATATTACCAGCTCCTCACATTCCAAGCTTTTAATTCCACAAATTGTGATAATTTTTTTTCCAATCATGTTCGACGATTCATCATCATTTTTAAAAATATGTCACATGTTCTTCCATCTTTCTGGACATACACCTGAATCTTGAGACATTTTAAAAACCTCAGCCTCAGCTAAAATATTTGATAGCACACAAATACATCCTTTGTCAAGCTTCACCTCGAGCTGCACTTGTCAATCGTCTCATGGAGTGGGTTTTTCAAATTCCAAATATGTAGTCCATTAGGATATCATCTAAGTTGCTAAAGTCTACACTCTAGAAGCGATCTAAATAATGAAACTCTTGTAAGTTTCTTTCCTTTTTGAACAGCTGCATATTCATTTACCAAGATAACCCAAAATCTTCAATTACCTTGACTTTTCCCCCAATGCATTTATTTACATTAAATTTCATTCCATTTGTATGACATCAAGAGGTGGCCTATTCAAGTATTCTTCAGTTTTCTGACAATTTTCAATTATTTTCTTGATAATTGATCGGTAGCTGTGAATAATCTTGCTGGATGTTTTGAGAACTCTAAAGCGTTGTCTTTTGCCTAGGATTTTAAATTGTTCGTGAAAATCTATTTATTTATTTATTTATTGATATTGATGGTAATTACAAGTAAGATTAATAGATACTTACAAACTAAACACTACACCAATAAAAACAACATACAAGATGGCACGGCTAGGTACTACTCAACTTTTAAATTATTTCATATCAGGTATTTATAAAATAATCTAGATTAACATCTTGGAAAGACAGTTCATCACATTTGACCAACATACAATTGAGGGGAGAACTGCTACCCACTGGTACATAAAAAAATTTATCTCTTTTAACCCTCAAGTTTATTTTGGGTACATGTGAAGGAATATAGTTAAAGATTATTTATTGTACTTTATATCATTGATAAATAACATAATAAATAAACAGCATACACTGTATCTGCCTCCTTTTTTCCAATGTCTGGAACTTAAGTCATCCAACATGCTTCTATTCGCCCTGAGCGTCCGCGGGGAAGGGATTTTAAAATGACTGTCAGCGCGCGAGGCGGAGAAATAGTGAAACTTGGGAGGTAATGAGGTAAATTGCAAGCATACGATCATTTTGAACAAAATAAAATGGGCCGTAATTATTGTTGCATGGTTGATTGTAAAAACACAAGCGTAAATAGGAAATATAAATTTTATAAATTTCCGCCTCGATTTCCGCAAAGCCAGTGGCGATTAGTCCAGAGACAAAAGTGGATTGCTGCAAACATTTATAACGAAATTACGAAAATTTGACAAGATACAGTTACCGAAGTTGACACCACAAAAATAAGCTCTTTATCACGTTTATTTTTGTAAAAAACGCTCGCCACTGTTGTATTTTCACAAAAATTTAAATTCAAAAATGACAACTTTACCTCCCGCACTCATGCTCAGGGCGAATATCAGACTAGATAAGGATATATAATTTTTTTTCTGAGATACATAAACCTTAGAAATCTTTTTTGAACGCGTTCAATTGCATCAGTGTGTTTTTGCCTGCGGAGACCAAACAACAGAAGCATATTCTAAGTGTGAACGAACATGAGGATTATAAAGCCTAATTACGACACCCAAATCATTAAATCGCCTTGTGTTATGTACGCATATTAATTCTCAGGAAGACTCAGGGAAAATGTTTGTGTATGTCTTTCACTTTGAAGCAGAAAGTTAATAATTATGAATGTGGCTTTGTTGGGTAGGAAGAGTACCCAGCGCGACCTGGAGTTTGATAGGACCTTTACTCATTATTATGTGAAACGATTTTGTTTTTTTAAAATTTTTTTGTGAAAATATGCAAAAGTAACTAAACTGTAAAACAGACATAATCGTGAAATACTTTTTAGGGGAAAATCAACCCTTAAAAGTGCCATATTGTTCTGAAGAGTTTGAACGTAATTGCTAATATATTTTTTTTTTAATTGATAACCTATTTTACTTATATTTTTTTATTGATAACCTATTTCACTTATTTAAAGTACTCCTCAGCGTGTTTAAATCCAACATTCAAAAACGCGCGTGTTTTAAAGTTACCAATGACAACATCAACAACCAACAACCCGAGAAAGGTTTAAATGTCAACTTTTTAATTATTGATTTGTCAGGAGTAGGTTAGGTACTTGTAGATAACGTCAAATAAAATGTAACAAGTGTCAAGCACGAATGTAGCATTCTACAATTATTAGTAATTTATGATTTGAACGTATACCAATAAAAAAAAATAGTGTAAAGTATTCGTGGATAACTGGTCTTTAAAACACTTGCTCTATTTCGAGCAATCGGCTGCGCCGTCGTGCTCGAAAAATCGCGCGTGTTTTAAAGACCTTAATATCCACTTATACTTTAATATACTATAAAGTACTCCATAGCGTGTTTAAATCCAACATTCAAAAACGCCCGTGTTTTAAAGTTATCATGACAACGTCAACAACGTTCTGTGGTCAACAACCCATGAAAGGTAAAGTCTATGTGACAACTTTTTAATTATTGATTTGTCAGGAGTAGGTACCTGTAGATAACGTCAAATAATAATAATAATAAATTTATTCAAACACAATTACAATCAACAACTGTTTTAACTAACATACACAAATAATATTACTTCTACATCTATTTAGCGGCACCTAAGTGAGCAAATCACCTGTATGTGCCCGATATGTTTCCATAAAATATAAAAAGTGTTAAGCACAAATTTAGCATTCTACAATAATCAGTTTTTTATGATTTGAACGTATACCAATAAAAAAAATAGTGTAAAGTATTTGTGGATAACTGGTCTTTAAAACACTTGCTCTATTTCGAGCTTAATATCCACTTATACTTTAATATACTATTAATTATAATAATAACCAGTCAGGTCCTTAAAATTTGGAATATGATTCCTATCAAAAGGAAATTTAATATCAATTTACAACAAGTAAACATTTTCTTGGGCCTTTTAACCCACAGTAGTGTGTAGAAAATGCAGAATTGGAAAAAACCAGGGTTTTTTTGAAAAAGTCAAACCCGTCTGGTTGTTATGGTTTTTTTGGGTTTTTTTCGGGCTTCCCGGGAGTTTTCGTTTTTTTCTTCAAATTTGATTTATAGTTTCTGTCTCGGTTACTGATCTAGCAAAAGTATTACAAAAAATATGACTTTTGTTGCAGAAATAAAATATCCTCCACACCTCTGGAGAAACTCTGTGTCATGTAGAACTCTTCATCAAGAGGATTCTATAGACTTGACACATTCGAAATATCGAATTCTAAATACATGGCACGGAGTCCCTCCCCAGACCTCCACGCCAACAGCAAACAGCCGGGGACTGGGGAATCATCGAGGAATCGGAGGAATTTCTGATATTTCCTGTGAAAATGACGCTCATTCAACTGAAAATTTGCTATTTTTAAAAAAACCCAATAAACCCAATAATGGTGGGTTTTATCAATTGAAAAAACCCGATAAACCCCACTGGGTTTTATAACCTGGGGAGATTCTATGCCAACCCTGAGAAAATGTAAATGCATACAAATTAGGTCCAGCTTTTTCATCACTATGAGGGCTTTTAAGATATCTGCATATAGGTTAAGAGTATTTTTTGGGTTAAGGATTATCGCACTTCTGCTGCTGTGCCCTCGGCTGTGCCAAGGGTCTTTGACCCACTTTCTTCCATTAATGGTTTAAACAGTAAAATTAGCATTTACTATCTTAGAGCCAATAATTCCTAATATTCTTATCAATATCATCTCAATCGATTAAACTAAGCCTTCATTTAACGTCTCTACAAGGACAATTTGTCCTTTTCAACGAGGATGTTACTAAGAAATTGTTTTAGCAATTCAAATGACAATAAAATTTCAAAAATATACATGAAAATTATCTTTGGATTGTTTTTTACTTCTTGTGTCTAGTCAGTCATGCCCAAAGATAGTCTAGGGAAAAATATTTCTTATATATTTGCGTCCAGTTGAAAAAAAAAAAACATAATTCACTCTCTACTGAGATTATTGCTGATAATCCGGGTTATTGTTGAGACTGACACCTGCCTATTTCTAAAGAAATTATTATTTAGGACAAGGGTTTTTGTGAAGCCCACTATGTCATTAGTCAAGTCTTTAAAAATTGTTTGCTTAGGCCTTTTTATTCTTTAACTTACTATACATTTTCTTTTCAGTCCATTCTTTGGTGAAGAATTCCAATTCGATGTGCCACGCAATTTCCGTTTCATCTCCGTTTATGTCTTTGACAGGGACAGGCAAAATAACAAACAAGACAAGGTGCTAGGCAAAGTAGCTATCCGTCGTGAACACTTAGCTTCCTACAACAACAAAGACCATTGGTTCCCGATCAAAGCTGTTGACGCTGACAGCGAAGTCCAAGGCAAAGCCAACATAGAAATCAAATTCGAACCTGTCTTTAATCGCAGCAAAAATTCCAGCTACAACACCAATACGCGGAAACTTTTTGTGCAAGTTGTAGAGTGTCTGGACTTGACTTTGAAAAACGGTGCATGTGACCCTTACGCGTTAGTCTCGGTGACTTACACAAACGGCAAAAGGTTATCGAAAAGAACTAAAGTGCGGAAAAAAACAACCAGTCCTCAGTTTGATGAGGAGTTTGCATTTAACAGTAGCGAGGACGGTGATAGTGACACTGAAATTTGTGAACTTTTGGTATCTATTTGGCACGATACGCCTGGGATGAGTGACGATGTGTTTATGGGTGAAGTTCGGGTGCAGCTTAGGGGATTGCAACAACAGAATGCAGCTCATAGAAATGCTTGGTAAGAATATTAAGATTTTTTGGTTTAGAACAATTTCAGTGAACAATTTTCAACAGTTGCAGAATTGATTAGGGAATGCTCTTAGTTTGGAATTTAAAACTTGGATGATTCTAAGGGTCTAAGAGCTCTTGACTATTTTATCTATGGCAGGGTTCATATTTTTTGAAGATAATATCTTAAATTGACTTTGAATATGGGCGGTATGTCTACCTATCCTGAGTCAACATCCAAAGCCCTTCAAAAAGGTAAAATCTGTACCTCAGAAATAAAAATCCTATTTTGTAAACAATTTTGTACAAAAATTGTATAGGAAACATAAACCTATGTTTGTATTTCTGTGTAAAATAAAAAACTTAGAATGGTGGAAAGCCCTAGCAAAAAACACAAGCAAAAACCATAAAATCAGGCAAAAAATATATAAGCTTTCCCAATTTTTTTGTCTCCCAGATTGTGTTTCACATCCATATTTGAAGGACAAATGGCACAGGGGTTATTCAACCCAAGATTCAACCCTCCCACGAACGGAAATTAACTTGCCTTTGGCTGCCTTAAAGGGCTCCATACACATCAAACCCAATCTCAATTCAAATGTTTCCAAAATTAACTTAAAAACTCGGATATTTTAATAACTGATGACTTCGTAATAGCTGAAAATTTTTGCAGAAGAATTCACAAAAGTTTACTCTCAGCACGGAGATGATGAGCTATAGTTCCAAAACCGAAGTGTGTGGTAGAAAAACACGACGGTTTTCTACCACACACTTCGGTTTTGGAACGACGTGTTCCATCACGGCGATGAAAACCGTTGAGAAAGAACGTAGTGTATGGGGCTCTTAAGGGCGCCACATACTACGATGAAATAGGACACGTCGTTCCAAAACCGAAGTGTGTGGTAGAAAACCATCAACCATCTATAAGCTTTATTGCTTTGCAGACGATGGCAATGTAGTCTCCTCACTCATACCACCCACAGGTCTTTCCGCACGTGAATTCCATCATCTTAGACTAACTCAAATATCACAGATAAATAACGACCTGGAGATAATAGAGGACTGGGGTAACAAAAACCTTGTACAGTTCAACGCACAGAAAACCCAAGCAGCTCTGTTTTCAAAAAAGAACAGCACCGGTGAGCCAAACACCATGCTATTTGGAAGTGCTGTCACATTACAGAGTCAGTTGAACATCTTGGGGGTTACTGCAGAGACCAACATGTCTTGGCACAATCACGTGGCAGATATTGCTAAAAGGGCGTCCCAAAAGCTGGGGGTGCTATTTCGTACAAGACATCTGTACACACCAAGCCAATTGCTGACACTCTACAAAGCCCAGATTCGACCAACTATGGAGTACTGCTCACATATATGGAGTGCAGCACCCAAACATACCTTAATGCTTTTGAACACCGTGCAAAAACGAGGTATCAAGCTGATCAATGACCCCGCACTTACTCGTAACTTGGATGGTCTCGAACATCGCAGATCTGTGGGCGATGTATCTCTCTTCTACAGGTACTATCACGGAAAATGCTCTGAAGAGTTGGCACGTATGATTCCACCGAGAGTAGCGCCTACCAGGCGAACCCGTCAAACAGACGGTAACCATGAATTTACTGTCAAACTAGAGGCACCAAGAACCTCATTATATCAGAATTCATATCTCTGGAGAACAGCATCGCTGTGGAATAAACTCCCTGCGACGGTTTTCCCTGCAGGTTACAACCTGAACCGTTTCAAGACCAACATACACCGACATTTCCGCGCACTTGCCGCTTCTCGAGCGTGATAGGACATTTCCTTGCGAGTGCGCATATCCGTAAAAAAAAAAAACAAAAAAAAAAAAAAAAAAACTCGCATCTAAGGTAAATTACCTATGACGAAAAAAAGATGGTTTCAAAGATAGGAAAGATAGTTTCTTCCCAATTTTTTTTTTCGTGTTATGTCCCCCTGGATGTCACCTGCATATTTGGAGGACAAGATGGAGAAGTGGGTAACCAACTCCCTCACAAAGGCATATCAAGTTAGTAGCTACTATCAAAAGTGCAAATCCTTGTGCTCGTCCTTGTGCGAATCATTTGGCTTGATTTCAAAAATTTTGCATGCTGTCAAATTTGCAAAATGTGAATTTTGACCTATCAATACTTCATGAACGATGAATGATGTGTACCTCGATGTGTACCTACCCGAGTGTGTACCTTCTCTACTTAGGATATGTAAAATATCTGAAAAATATCTAGGAATATTGTACCCTTCTTGAATCAAGCCTTGAATATACATTTTTGTTTATTTGTGTAGTGTTTTTTCGTGTAAAGTCTTTGTACATTGGGGTCGTTGTACTGTTGATTCGAAGCTCGATTCAAATTCCCCAAAAAACAGCCCTGTTTTAGCTCATCTGTCAAACAGATTCTCTTTTTTTCCTGTTCTGAGCCAATTTTATAATTACTTTTTTTCTGGAAATTACTAAAGGTACCTTCCTAAGCTAATTAATTTAAAGAATTTTCCCTCAAGGGCCTTAGTACCTATAGTATATCTTAGACTCTCTTTGAATTTCAATCTAATAGTTTTTCTTGATTTTTTTTAATATCAAAATTGCCTGAGAAACTGTATAATTACGTAATAAGTATGTTATATCCGAGGTTTATTCATTCTTTCATCCATTTGGGAATTAAACATTCATATTTCTACTACTTACTGAAGTGCAATATTGAAAATTTAAATAGCAAATTTGCAAGTTTCTACGTATCTAATCAAGGAAAAGTTTCAAACCTAGCTAATATAGAGACTATATTACCACCACACTTTTATCAGGCAATTTTCATAATAATAATTTACATGACGAGCAGTATATTGTAATAATAATCTAATCTAGATAAGCCTCAAGTAATTTCAAACTAATGAACCTGTTTTCATTCAACAAAAAAAAAACGCAATTTATTTCTTAATGAATAAATTTGAATTAGATACGAGCTAGGTAATTCCACAAATAACTAACGCTTTTTGAATGGGAAAATACATTAAACATTCTCATTCACAATATTTGCTTAGAAGGTATTTAAGTATTTACTTTTTAATTGCAAAAAAAATAATGTTATTGTTGGAATTTGTCACTGTACTATGTTATCTGCCGCACTTATAATAAAATCTTAATCAATAGTAATGAATAATTTATAATTAGTCTTTAAGTATGCCGTTTCCAAGAGATTTTCCCCTCATAAAAAGCGTGCAAGATACAGAATACAAATTGTGGGCATAACGTCTGTCATATCCTGTAGAATAATATCGTTGGCTTTTGCTTTGACTCTTCTAGGCGGGTTTTCTTTTATTGGTTTAATTAGCAGCAATTACTAAGAAAACGTTTATGTTGTTTCTTAGAAAATAAGGAAAGCTTTCTTGAGACCACATCAAACAGTGCGGCTTACGGATTACTTTGCATACTCTTTTCTGGCAGGATGTTGGATTTTTTCGGATAAAATGGATGATTTATAGTATCTATATTGCTAGGCATTATTTTTTTCTATTCCTTCATGAATCAGGAACCGAATTCTTCCTGCATTTATGTCTTTTAAGCTAGAAGAGCAAATTCAGCAAAATCGAAAATCAATACATGGAACATTAAAGGCTAATTAAATGCCGTAAGGAAAAATTTAGGGCTCCGCCAATTTTCGCGAAAATGGCTGTTCTACTAGCTTTAACTTAAGACTAAAGTCAGAAGAACTTAACCAAAAATGTGACTAAAACAGCATAAATTGAAATTCAGACACATTAAAGGCTACGGAAGTACACCAATCGCAAATTTCAGGCTCAATTACTTTTTTGATTTAGTAAGTTTGGAAAAGTCTGATTAAAATTGCTATGTACCCAAACTACCCGGGTTATTATCGGTAAGTTTGGGAATATCTGATTAAAATTGAAAACTAACCCAAACTTCCTCATCACTGCATCTAATTAGCCTTCAATAAGTCACTAAGTTTACTGTCCAAGAGGTTTTCACGCCATGCTTGGCCGACCACACTCACGTGATGCGACTTTTCGCATTTTCACAAGAAAAGTAATGGAGCCTGAAATTCGCGATTGGTGTATTTCCGGAGCCTTTAATAGATTACAATAAAACAAAAATAGAAATGCATCATAATGATATTACAATATCTCCATTATTACAACATAGTAGACTTAAACATAATTAACCATTCCTCACAATTTCAAGTGTGCATACAATATATCGATACCAATATTCTAATAGGACGTATCCCACAACTTTTGGGATTTAGCGTTTTCAATGAATATGAGTTCAATGGGTCTTTAATTCTAGTATATCGTATGAAACATTCAACTGAAAATAGTCAAGCTTCCTTCGAATACTTAAAAAAATATACGTTTATTTCACCTCCTGACAAACTTTGGATTTAGGGGTTACGTCCTATTAGAATATTGGTATCGATATGGTCAATAGAAAAATTCTTGGCGAAATCATATAGTTATGCAAAACCTATCTCAGCTTCAAATACTGACAAATACCATCTTCCCCAGTTTGTCAAAGAGAATCTCTCATAGAATTGAAAGAATTTCTGCTTCTTTAAAGTCTTCCTAGAAGCCCAAAGAATACAATTCTTACAAGAAATCTTGAGTATTCAGTGGTCAAGTTTACGCTTAACATAAAATAAACAAAAAACACGAAACTCGATAGCAATGTATACCAAGAATTATGTCAGGAAGCTCTAATATGAGTGTGGAAACCGCAACACATGGTGGGACACATGAAACCAAGCTAGGCATATCGGATTTCGTGATGGTCATCAGGTGGGTATTGAATAAATTAAATTAGATTTGAGTTATGTTGGTAAAATCGATAATTCAGAAGTGCAAGTTTATTTATTTGTTATCTGATATACTTAGTTCATTCAACATTTTAGATGAAATAATTAACAACTATCCCTAAAATTATCTCAGCATTCATCAAAGCATCAGCAAGTTTCTGCTAGGGATGATTCTCTTGATGCCTTT